CAGCTTAATGATCAAATTGATCATCTGCAAAATAATTTAAGTTAATAAATACCATGCAAAGTATGTAGTTGAAGTTAACCAGTCTAAGTTAGTGAGGTTAGCCGAACACAATAGCCTGCCTGAGTCTAGATTGATAAGCCCTATTGAGATAAGTAATCTAGAGAAAAATTCAGCCTATGAAACAACAAAACACTATGTTGGGACTGAGTGAGAGTCCTAACGGCAGATATAGTTTGGTAACTGAAGGCTTTTGTATCGATTCACAAGAATGATTCATCACTGATTTCAAATATATGGAACTTCTAATACCAGTCAAGTCAAAGAATGTAAATGGGTGTGAAAACTAAAACAGGAAGTTGTGTGGTCATATATGAGCGAAACTTTCTGCCGGGAATATCATCTTGTTAGTAGTACCATATCAGTGTATGCTACACATAACAGACTGAACTAATATGATGCAGTCTTGCAATTCTTCAATTAAGAATACTTAGTCATTTCAATTCTGACATGATTTCGTTAGTTTCCATAGTTTGTTGATGACGTTTTCCAGTTGGTTCTCTATCACTACAATTTCAAACAGGTTTAATAACTTCTGTACATGTTGTGAGAAGACGTTTTTAAGAGGACTGATGAATGGGACTTGTTGTTATCATCCAAACATACAGCATTAGTAACGATACATAAGTCTGATCATGTGTATCGTTCTTTTCTTCTCTGCTTTACACTGTTGTTTGGTTATCAGACTCTAGAAGTCAACTATTTACTGAGTCATGGTGATCACACCTCTTCTCTCGTTGGACAAGATGGTATGTACATGTACTTTGGTATTTGTGTCAGGACTAGTAACTTCTGATAAATGTTTGTGACCTATCGGCATTTTCATCAGGTTTCATGTCTCATCCCCAAAATTATGCTTCATGCCTAATTGGTTGGGGTCTTTGTTAACTCTAACGCTGTCCAGTCTATGCAGATTCTCTGTTGGCAGATTGTATGGTTGATTGCATTTGGAAGCGTCAAACAGCAAACAATCAATTTTCTGTTTTCTCATATTGTGTACTTTACTCATTTTAAAGATAGTGGATATCATATTCAGTTGCTTATCATATACCATCTGAATATTATCCATATATCTGAAGTGAAACAGAATAAGTTTAGTGAGATGTCTCGACATACTTTTACATATATATGTCTGTAGGCTTCAACATCCCATACTAGCACCATCAATTCGGTCAAAATGTTCACTATTTGTTTGAACAAACTAATTAATTGTTATAAAATTGTTATTAAAATGGGATCACGTAAGTTGTATGAGATATGTATTGAATCGATATTAGTGTACAAAGAATAAACGTTTACAATTAACTTGCTAATAATGTAAAGCGAACTTCTTAAAGGCGAATTACCTGATTCAATAGATTTTATCGCAATTTACAACCTATCTAATAGGTCAGGAGAAAGAAGTATATGTCAGATTCTCATCCATAGATGAATGTAAAGGCTTAATTTCCATACAGCAGCTTATTGGCAATACCTGAAGGATATACTATGTAGCGAAAGCCTCATGATGAAGAAAATCTGACAAACATGACCAAGTGTATTCATCAATTCATGTACGAATCTGACTGTGTACACATCTGGATGACTTAGTATATCCAGTAAAAGCGAAGCCATTGAGGAAGAATGAAGTATTTATTATCCACCGTTTTCGTCCTTATGTACTGTCATTTAAAATCTTTTATTTCCAATTTACCAATCTCGAATAAGCCTGTCTTTTATTTCCTGACAAAAATTGTTAAAATAGTGACATTTTTCTATCACTGTTGACATCATCTAAGTAAATGTTCTCTTCAATATTAATAATTGAACTTCCACATAGCAAAGAATTGAATAAAACTGGTAATACAGTTCACCAGCTTCTATTGAATTTTTCAAAGGCTATTTTGAAGTCATTGGTATAACATGTTTTAAGTACATATGATTTATGTCTGACCCCTTTATTTAACGAACTGTTTGAGGATATTTTATCAGAACTATGATCAACATTTGATCGAATATTATCGCAAATATCAGGAACTGAATGAAACATCGACATTAGATATAGTTTGCATTTGTATAGGTCACAGAGTGTTTGAAATGAAATAGTTCAAACATTTCTCACGTCGGAATTATTTCATTTCAAACACTCTGTGACTCATACAAATACAAATATTCGAGCGTAGTTGTTGCTCAATCCATTTAGGGATATGTTCTCCAACCCTCTGTTCTGCATTTTGACTACTTTTTCCAGTTTATATGTCTACACACATACACAGAATGTGACACAGCTATATTTGTGGTGCTCTTTATGTTAAAATATGGGCTTTGGTTCCACTAGAATGTAAGGAAAATACTGGTAATAAGTTTAGTTTCATATGATTTTATTTAAATAACTGAGTTTAACTTTCATTTCAAAACCATACTGCTTGATTCCCGTCATATGGCAGCATCATGTATTCATCCTTCTTCGAGAGGAAATATTGAGTGGATAGCAACATGTGATTGTTTGTGCGCCGAATAAAAAGCTTCAAGAGGAATGCATTGTTCAGTAATTGCTCTGTCGAGTGTTAACTTGCTTCTTTGACTGTATTCATTATGTATCGTTGAATAATCACTCCACCTAACCCTATTTACGCTTCGCTGGACATGAGCTACTAGGGTTGAGGAGCAGTTCAACTTAAGTAGGTACTCTGATATTCTAAATAATCCGCCTTTCCTGTTATTTTCTACTGCGTGTATTAAACTTTTTATGACGCTAAGTCTCTCCAACAGTTCTATTGCGTTATTATGTCTGCTGCCCATCACTAAGATGTCATCCAACTTCCTTCTGTGCAGGGTAACTTTGCCGATTAAATTAAAAGTCAAAATTACTGCATATGACTTAATAATGTCAGCTAACAGTGACCTTACGGAACTACCCATAAAGACGCCGTCTATTTGTCAACAATGTTCACCTTTAAAAGTCAAGTGGACCTTACTGATGTAAAATAGTAGCGACTACCTTGGTTGTATTGTGTTCTCTGAGCTGGGTTGCTTAGTCGTGAAGCTTTCATTGTCCTCCTAGACGACACCATCAGCACTAACTTCAGTATGAAGGACAATGAAAGCTTCACGATTAAACAACCCAGCTCATAGAACATAATACAACCAAAACCATCCACCTGAGCTACAAATATTCTGCACTGTTTAGTAGCAACTACTTTAAATATCCTGGAGGGATAATGAATAGAGGATTATTCAATGATGTGTACAGACAAGAATTATCATTATTACTAGCTGAAGGCATATCAGTGGATACATTGCCTTTTTTGATAGTAATATCCCTACGGCAGTTAATAAGCGCAAATATGTTTTCTACGGAATATTTAAATAATTGATTTCTGATTTTACTTAAAATCTTTGCTAACCACTTCGCTAATGTACAGGTTGGGGAACTACATAGTGATACTATTGGAAGTACCACAATATTAGCTTTTTTTATTATGAGCTAACTGTAAGATGTAGGGTGTTCCCACGGAGTACCACTGGAATCCGTGTATCTCTAATTATTGACCATAAAACAGGAGACAATTTTCCAACCAAATTTATGCACATAAAAGAGGTTTGTTCAGTTCTTTTGTCTTTCATAACATTCACTTTCAACTCAAATCCATTTACAATAATTTCCCTCTCAGGTCAAACTTGATGAACGCAAATGTGGTCTATATTTTTAATGCTCGTATTCCGTTCTAATTTTAATCACAAACCTTGTCCTTAGCCTCATATATGATTAGGAATTCAAATATTTCAATACCCAACTGCTTTGTGCCAATAACCTATTTTTCGCATACCTACAATTTCTTCATACACCCATTATTTATTGACGTCATGAAATGATGTAAACTATCACACGTTTGCATAATCGTTTTCACTGTTTTTACTGTTATTTCTTAACTTATATAGTCAAACTCATATCCTATCAACTATAATGGTGTTTAACTGTCTACCTTCACTAATTTTGATCTAAAACCATTAAGCCTGGCAAAAATTGAAGAAGATACGCTACTGCCTGCATTCTGTATGTTGTCATGTAAGCTTAATGTGGCGTAATTGACATTTGTGGCTATTATCCTATCCCAGTGGTGTGTGAAATTAGTTACTTTGAGTCTAATTTTAATTAGTCTGTTTTTATCTGATGGATTATTTCTACTGAAGGTTGCGATTTTTCCCTACATCATTTTGACCTGACTAACTACATCTCACTTCAGAATTATTGAAATGAATCAGTATATAATTTTTTTGACAGGAATTTATAAATTCAGTAATTTTTTAAGCGAACCAGCTGTCATACAATTAATATTTACGATAGACTGAATACGATTTAAGCTTAGTTAGAATAAAGCAAAGAGGTTAGTCTAACACTGTATTTACGGGTTATTCCATAACTCTTATGAGCTGTGATGAAGAATACACCAACTGCACTCTTTCATGATGTCATTTTAAATTAACAGCTCGCATCTTAACCAAACACTGGCAACTCTACCGCTAACTTAAAAAGTGTTGCTGCACCAGAATATATTTACTATTATATTTTGCTAAATACTTGAGAATCTATACTGCTAAAAAAGATATTCATTTACATGATGTCAGTGTGCTTTTAGTGGAATTTAAATAAGATTGCACGGACATGTAGTAAAGTTTGTTTAGTTCAGCTGCTTAGACCAACTCTGATTAAACTTATATTTCTCTGCTAAAATGGCTGAAGATCCCTTAGGGTTGACATGTATAATGAACATTACCACCATGCACCTCTTTTCTACATAAATCAAGTGGTAAACGCCTCAGAAGAATTATTTGCTCCCGATCAAGTATTTGCAATAAAAAGTAAGAAACAGGCCACTGTCCTAAAAAGTATCAGTTTGTTATATATATATATATATATATATATATATATATATATATATATATATATATATATATATATATACGCAAACAAAATTATTAACAAAGACTCTCAGGGATACTATTGTTATCCGTAATATTACGAAATGATACCACCATCTGCATATATTAAAGGATTACAACAAGATTATTAAATGGAATCTATATATACAGGAAGAGACTAGAAACTGTTCGAAAATAATACATAAAGATAGCAATGTATGAAGTAAGGAAAAACGGAAGTTGATATTTATCTGAGGTTACTGCCCTATACTCACAAACACACACATACTATAATTACTATGGCTCTGAGGGAGTCAATGAATTGTGACTCGGTGAATTATAATTATTAGGGGTTAAAAACCGATGAGCAGTCTCTTCATACACTTCATTCTCATTCCCTTGATAAACTCCCACTTCATAGGCAACTACAGTGGCGTGATCCAGTTTCCCAGGCATGCGTTTGAGCATATCAGTAAACCATTTCTTCTGTGAGTCGATTGAATAACCACTACCAGAATGCTTGTTTTCTTCATTACCATTGTTATTATTATCATTATTATTATTACTGTTGCTATTATTTTGAAATGTGGTTTGACTTTGTCTCAAATGTGCAAATTCAGGATTTTCTAACCATTCACGTCGTTTCGATGTAGTTCTGTAGGCATAATTGATTAAAGCCTCACATAAATCTCTTGAACTGAATGTGCCTGGAAAATGTGTAATTTTATTATTTTCTGTGCTGATATCTAATTCATGCCATACACGTTCTAATTCTTTTGCTGCATACCTTCTACGTTCATACCAGTTCAGTTCAAGTTGGTTAGTGAAATTGATTTGTTGTGCACAAATTGTATCCGTCTCATTACTATTGAAGTTAGTGTTGACTGTAAGGTTTTGATGCGACAACTTAATAGGGTCAGTAGGTGGGGGTGGAGGTTCTGGCCAAATACTGACTTGAGGTGGTGGAGTTAATGGTGAATGATTCAACCATGATTTCGATGGACGCCATAAGGGTGAAGTAGGCGATTTATTGGAACCTGGTCTCACAGAATCAGAAGAAGAAGTGCTTTTCGTAGAGCCATTATGAATAGTACCAGTGATTCTCAAGTCATCAGTTGAAGAATTATCTTCTCCTTCCCCTTCTTCTTCATCAACAAACTCTAGATGTGGTGATTCTGGGACGGCCAACCGTGTGATAACTGGATCAAAGTTGTCGATGAGACCATCGGATCCGAGCAGTACTATATCACCAGGATCACAAAGTGTCACTGAAAAGAAAAGATGGAATAAAAGTTTTCAGGGCATTAAAAACCAAGGGGCATACAGAATTTGGTTTAGCAGAAAACCAACATGTATAAAACCCACTGGGAAATAAACTGAGGCAAATTAGCTGACTTTTGTGCAATATCACAGCCTTTATAAGTTTCGTAGTTATAGTAGTAATAATGATGGTTGTATTCTCATATGGAGGAAGTGTGATCATTCAGGATAACTTGGTTGGGTTGGTAGCAAGAGTATGAAGGCGATAGAAGTTTTCAGAATGAGTACAATGACGGATTGTGGAGTAATGTCTGTCTTTCCAATTACGTTAGCTGAAAACTGATCAACTATCATAGGACAATCACAAAGCACGCCATGTATATAATAAAACTGCTAATTACACAAACATACTCGATAGGCAGTTTATCTTAGACATTTCTTCCATAGGAAATAAAATGACTTCTTTTAGATATACTTTTTACCAATCCGTTGATAGATATTCCGGAATTTTATTGCCTGAATGACAGATCAGTCATTCTTTTCAAGCAGCTGTTAGAAACAATTAATTGAAAATCCATCCAGTGTACTGTGTGATGACTTCCAAGATCAAAGTACAATTGTCATACTTGAAAATAAAGATTACTGTTATAGAATTCGACTACTGATGTACAAACATATAAGGTAAAGAAACCTTGGTCTATGTGTATCATGCCTTATTATTCACTTAGACAGACACGCACGTGGGTTTATATAACATTTCAATCTAAGTCTTGTTAGAAAAAAACTAACATTGGTGAAAATGAATTATTAGGCAGTTTCGTGACCAGCATGATTGACCTATACGTATACTATCTATGAAAAGTATTTCCATGAGGTGGCAACAAGTTAAAATTTGATCTAGAAGTAGTATTCATCATGGACTGACAGAATGAATACTACTTCTAAACTAAAAATCCCCATTCATCTCAAAATACGTTACTGTATAGTGCTCATTAGTGACTTGCTTCCAGATGGATATCAGGAAGCTCTAATGAGAAGCCGTGACCTGTGGGGTCAACCAGTCGGAAGTGAAGTGGATGCTAACTGAAGACCTTGGGCGACAGTCGTGCTATGTGGTGAATTGGCAGAAGTTGGAAATTGTGAACCATTGGGAACCAACCCAGTGGCTGAATTGTTGACGCGTTGGCCGTGAAACCTGAAGGTCCTGAGTTTGATCCCTAACCGGCTCGAGGGTGTGTACTGCTGTGGAGTCCCAAACTAGGATGAAACAGATGTCCAGTGCTCCCAGGTTTTCAGTAGTTCCCCAACTGATATTAGTCCATGATGAATACTACTTCTGAATTAAAAGTCTCCAATCATCTCTAAAATTTGATCACCTATAAAAATGAAGATAAAAGTCTTTCGTGACGCAGTGTTATTGATTTCATTCAGAGTGTTGCAGTAAACTGCTAATGCACACACATATACACCTATGGCCAAGTAAACTTATTCTCTCCAAATCACAATAAAAGTGTTTTTTATTCGTTAGTCAGTATAAATCGGTTTAAAAAATACATTAACATTAAAAGGGACAGGGAAAAAGGAATAGGGATAGTATGCTGTCGCACGTGCGCAGACTTGTTGACAAAACTCAACCACGAACAAAAAACATGTATTAGTAGTCAGCAAATTATTATTACAGCAAAATTTTACAGGAAGCAGAAAAGCCAAAATTGTCTGTATGCAGGTATGAATAGGCAATCAATATGTAAGAAGTGAATTAGTCAGAAAATCTAGAAAGAAAATTCAGAATTATGCTAATTAGGCGGGGAAGAGAATGGAAGTTTTATAAGCTCAAATCCAAAGCATTTATTCTACTTCGTTAGTGAATTTCAGTGTAAGACGATACCAGGTGAACAAATGTCAAAAATCAGAAGATATTAGCAAACAGCTTCAGTTTATTGTCAGATATCCTTAAGGTATTCATACAAAAGGTTGCATAGAATGGCATTCAACTCTCTACCTCAACTTCATCGACTTCGAAAAGGACTTCGACAGCCTTGACAGAGAACTAGCTTGACAGTTGTTTCAACACTATGGAGTGCCTCTAGTCTTTATCAACCTCATTCAACAGTTATAGGAAAACGCCACATACCAAATGATCAACAATGGATAGCTCAGTGACGCCTTTGAAGTGAAGATAGGGGACAGGAGTAAGACAAGGCTGCCTACTATCTATCACCCATCATCTTACTGATTGTGGTCGACTCGATCATGCAGCGAACCGTGAGGAGTGAGAAGATGGGCATACACTGACTGGACCGATGAAAAGACCCTCAAAAATTTGGATTTCACCGCTGATCATGATTGATGTCTAATGTCTTGTCGCACAAACTCGAAGATCTACATAGGCAAAAGCCAACAAGTTGACAGAAGAGGCAGGCCAGCGAAGACGGGACTTCAAGTGAATGTAGAGAAGACGGAGGTGATGCAGATACCCAACCAACAACAGCATCAACAACAAGCCCCGATAACCATCAACGGCAGCAACCTAAAGGAATTAGTCTCTTTCACCTACCCATGCACCTAAGCAGCATCCTTTCAACTACAGGCGGCTCAGGCACAGACAAGGATGTCAAAACCAGGATTGGAAAGACAGCAAGACAGGCTTGCATTAATCTGAAATCAGTGTGGAGATCTACTCAAATGCACTCAGCATCACGCGTGAACGAGATCCGGATTTCCAACACCAACGTCAAGTCAGTGCTGCTGTATGGTTCAGAAACTTGGCGTGTCACGAAAACTACAGACATTCATCAACGCCTGTCGACGCTGGCTCGATACTGAAAATCAGATGGATGGCCAGAAAGAATAAACTACATGAAACTCCGGCCTGGCTGGCAATGAACCAACCAACAAACTATCACCCAAAAATATGCAGAAGGAAGTGGAGATGGATTGGATTGCGCATGCACTGAGAAGGCCGACTGGAGACATCACGCTTCAGGCCAGGCCAGGCCGCCGAGTGGAATCCGAATGGGAAACGACAAGTTGGGCATCCAAGGTGAGGGTGACATATAGGAGATCGTGTGAGGAAGAAATGAAGGCTTATGGGCAGTTGTGGCTCCAGGTTGGAAAGAGTGCAGAGAACAGAGTGGAATGGTGACGTGCTACTGAAGCCCTATGTTCCACTGGAAGCCAAAGGGAAAAATAGTAATAATAATGAATACAAAAGGTCAGTCGCGATTAAAGACAGTTCCACAGTGAGTGGTATATATCCTCCATTTCAGCTTACAGGCAGAATAGAGTTACATCCTGTATCATTAGAGTGCATTCAAAAGTAGTTAGAAATGACGCGTTATCACTAAGACCATAGGTGACTGAAATCAAGGTTTCTTCAGTCTTAGACAAACAGAATAATTTTCGAGAGGTCATCGGTACATACTGATAAGGAGTTCTATAGTGAGATTTCAGAAGTTTATATTTAACTGAAATGAAAGTATGAGGAAAGACTCTTTGAATTATTCATACGTTTGTATTATTATCATTATTCTTGTGCAACAATGTTGAAATCACAGATACCTTGAATAAACCTTTTTGGGTCGATTATTGTTGAATACGATAGGTCAATTGGTTTTTGTTTATGATTCCTTAAATGTAAGGGAGAAAAATGTGACATAGGCGAAGATTAAATCTGTTGATTAATTTACCTCACCTATCACAACTGTACAAAGATTCGTACGAAGCTACAAGCGGGTAGAAGGCTAACAAGCGGTATAAAGCGGCCTACTATAGACGGTCAGAATCTATAATATTTTTATGTGCAACGAGAACAAACAATTGCCTTTCGTACACTGAAATTTTTAATCAGAAAATTCAGTGAATTAATTAAAAAGTTCGATCTTTTTTTCATTTCCATTTATGCCAAGCGATATCAGTTAACATATGCCATTAACTAGTAGTACTGAAGTCGATGCAAATAAAGACTATCGACTTTAGCATCACAGTGGTATACAACTAAGTTCTAACAAGTTCAGTGAATATGGTCAAGAGGTTTATATACAAGACTGTCAACTACTTTGTCATGTGTTCGCAAAACACTGGATTGATTTGAGTCACAAAATAAGAGCAGAATCGTTAATCTTCGTTAAACGGGTGTAGTTCATGACCTAGTACATTTGTCTTTGAGTTGTTTCTCTGTTACGCTTCTCTTCGGTTTTGAATAAGTGGCTCATCAGTGTATCTATTCGGCTGTCAGTTAATGAGCTGTGTATTCAAACCATGCCCCGTCTACTTTTGTTTTGGCAGCTAACTATTTCATAATGACTGTAACTAAGCGCTAAGTGCATAGATATCCATAAGATTGCTGATTAACACTTATGTTTCCCTGTATTCTGAAAAATTACCGATAATGCTGGAGACATTAGGGAAAGGAAGTTACTAAATCATCATCATCATTATCAACATAGGACCAGGCATTACTGCGTAACGGTCCGAGTTGACACACCTCATATCAGCACATCAAGTAAAAGGTAGTGAGGTGAAGGATGAAGATAAGTGAATGCAGTCAAAAGAAATATAAAGTACGAGAAGAAAGGAAAGAGGTGTGACAAAATAGTGAGATTCAGTATAGCGTTGTTAAGATGAGGATAATGTGTGTATACATCTGCGCCACTGATATCAGTTCTGAGCCATATCACCTAGGGTCTCCAACCACTGGTTCCTCTTCTCCCGAGGACCCCAACCACCTAGTCTGCATCGTCCTACATGGCTTAAACCAACAGTCAGAGACTTCATACATTGGTGCCATGTTTTAGTCTGGCCGGCCACCTCGAGCCTTTTTCCAGCCTGGACCCACCTCAGCCAACATTGTGTGACAAGGCAATCGGTGACTAGGCATACGTAGTACGTGTCCCAACCATCTCAGTCGATGAAGGTTCACAACCTCGTCGACTGACCTACCTCTTCTCCCCAAAACTCTACACCTAACTTCTGCATTACTCACATGGTGACACCACGGAATACGTCC